GAATGCCAACCCTTAAATAGCGACCCCCGTGTCGTGCCGCCTATCCCTGCTCCCTATCTCGCACCGCCTCGCCTCGAGCAAGCCTAGCGCCACCGCCTGGATTCCGCCGGGAGGAGCCGACGTCGCCGAGCCGATTGGACACCCCTCCGTCAAGGTAAGAAGATCCTCAAGCTTCAGGAGTACTCCTAGAGCATGCTGAGACCCTTTTCTTCCCCTTTTTCCCTCTGAGCTGTCTTGCGCCGCGTAGCAGTTGCTCCGCCGCCGCCCTAGCTTGCAGGCTGCCGTCTCTGTCCGCCAATACATACAATAGAGCGTAGATTCGAGTTCGCAGTGGTCTTCTCCATCTACCGGTGCCCTTGCTTCATGCTATAGTGTCCTGTAGGCTCCTATTAAAAAACATCGGCGACCTCCTCAGTCACCCGGCCATGGCACCGCCGCCTAGAAACCGCACATCGGTGGCCCCATCTTCCCTTTTCACTCTCGACCGTCCATCTAGAGATCTATGGCTCTGTTTAAAAGGTACCGGTTCATAGGAAATTTTGCTAAAGAGCCCCTTCATTTTTCTGATTTCAAACCCACAGTCCAAAGTGTAATCACATATTACGTCTTCTTCTTTGGAAAGCATAGTTTCATCGGTTTAGATCCAAAATACGTTTTCACTTATCTACAGTTTTGCCACTATTTTCTTTGGGCAATAACTTCTCCGTTTTAACTCCGATTTGACCCGATCAAATTGTGATTGGTTCATAATTTCATATCCTACATGTTTATGCTACTGTTATATATTTTTCAACTTTTAAAATCTGAGGTTAGATTTAATCTATTATTTTATGAAAGGAAATCTTGTTTAATTCGTATCTTCTACGTTTTAGCTCTGATTTGACCTGTTCAAGTTGCGTTGGATTCATAGCGATAAGGTCTACGCATTAGTAACAGTGTTTACCATATTACTATTTCTAAAATTTCATGGTTTAAATCATATCTTGATTAATAATTATGCAACTAGGTTTTATAAATAAAATATGATTTGTTTTACTTTAGTTTTATAATTCAAATCTAAATTTGACTTGATTTAATATCTTATATATATTTGAAATGAATGAAGCCTATAGTTTTCTTTTCCATGTATGAAGCAAATCTTTCGGTAGTTGTATCTTTTCAACCGTAGCTTTGATTAGCGTGCCTCTCACGTTTGTGCGTTCGTAGCGATGCGTAGAATCATATTTCAAACTTTTTTTTTCTTATTTTTCCATGATTGGTGTACTGTTCTAATTTAGATCTATTGTTTGCTTTTTGTATGATTGTATGGATGCTTGTGTGGTGCTTTATGATTACGTCTAGTCGATGAGATATACGTGGTGATCAAGAAGAAGAACGTTGATGATTAAAGCTTACCGAAGGATCGGTGTTTAAGGCAAGTATAGCATGGGATCATCCTTATTGTCCTATACACCTTTAATCACTTAATTCATACTGCATGTGTCTACCTTGACTGCCACTAAGGATTTTCTAGTCCTTTGTTATCCTGTACCTTGATACCTATGGGGTATTAAATTGGGTAGTTTGATGCTAGTGCTTCACTACAATCATGATCTTGTAACTTGACTAATGATATATGCAATAAACACTAAAATATGCTTTTTAACAACATGGAACAAGGGGGCTAGAGTATTATGGTATTTTATGGTGCTCTAGATTCCTCTCCCTAAGGACTTATCTGTAAGTGATCATCCGGGACATACAGTATAACTATGAGGGCTATATGGCTCTGGCTTTAGCTCAGTATGAGGACCTTTTCTAGCTTGTTAGTGGTTACCTTTATTGGCATAAGAATGGATTACCGAATCGGGTATAGGACATCCTCTATCCCCTTGTGTATAGGCTGCGTATCATTGTGCCATCGGGAAGGGGGGTTCCTACATCTATTTGCCGAGTAAATCTAATGGCCCTAACTCGTTAGACGAACCTTTGAAAGGCTTCATAGTGATGTAGCACCCGGTTTTAAAGACAAACCAGATACACACCACATGTGAGCCCAGGAAGTCAAATCTCACATATAGCTACAAATAAGGGTAATATCAATAGACAATGCTTAAATACATAACGTATTAGTACAAAGAATATAACCTTAGATAGCAGACAGCGGAAAGACAACTCCGATCTTCAGGTGAATACTCCAAATCCATAGGGACAACTGACTGGTTAATCATAAGCCTAATTTCTCTAAACTCTAGCAATCTAGTACCCATCCGGGATTTTTATCCAAATAATTGAAAAATAAAGCAAGCGTAAGTACATGTCGTACTCAACAAATATAACATGGGGTTTATGAGGCTCAAAAGGCTGACACTAGTTTAACTGCGATTAGCTTTTAATGGTCACAATTTTAGCAAAGGAGTAGCAACAAGTTTATCATAAGCCCGTATAAACACATGATCAGGTAACACATGAATAATGAACAACATAAACAGTAATCATTAGTGTGCATGTTCATCATCGGTATCATCCGTGTTCTTCATCATTAACCATTATTGATTATCTATTCTGTAAATGTTCCAAGGCCTCTCGTGACCATGAGCACGGCTGATGTACCAGTTTTACACTCTGCAGAGGTTGTACACTTTCACTGTGAGTCATGATTTACCCTTTCGCTCGAGGTAGCTAATCTCTTGACCCACTTTCAAGGAAGGTCGGCTAGGTTCACTTGTAACAACCTAAAATTTTAATCTCTTGACACGCTACAAGTGAACCCTGTCGACCTTCTTGAATTGGGCCAAGAGATTAGCTACCTCAGGCGAAAGGGTAAATCACGACTCACAGTGAAAGTGTACAACCTCTGCAGAGTGTAAAACTGGTATAATAGCCGTGCTCACGGTCACGAGCAGCCTTGGAATATTTACGGAATAGATGATCAATAATGGTTAATGATGAAGAACACGGATGATACCGATGATGAACATGCACACTAATTATTACTGTTTATGTTGTTCATTATTCATGTTTACCTGATCATGTATTTATTCGGGCTTGTGATAAACTTGTTTCTACTCCTTTGCTAAAATTGTGACCATTAAAAGCTAATCGCAGTTAAACTAGTGTCAGCCTTTTGAGCCTCATGAACCCCATGTTATATTTGTTGAGTACAACATGTACTTACGCTTGCTTTATTTTTCAATTATTTGGATAAAAATCCCGGATGGGTACCAGATTGCTAGAGTTTGGAGAAATTAGGCTTGTGATCAACCAGTCAGTTGTCCCTGTGGATTTGGAGTATTCACCTGAAGATCGGAGTTGTCTTTTCGCTGTCTGCTATCTAAGGTTATATTTTTTGTACTAATACGTTATGTATTTAAGCATTGTCTATTGATATTACCCTTATTTATAGCTATATGTGAGATTTGACTTCATAGGCTCACATATGGTGTGTATCTGGTTTTGTCCTTAAAACCGGGTTCTACACTGAGGGCCGCACGGGAAGGGCTGCGCCCTAGAGGAGCAGCGGTTGGTTGTAGAGAACGACGTCGAACCGGCGGCGAAGCTCCTTGGTGCGGCAGGAGGCAGATCTGGGGGCGGGGGCGGCGACGGGCCTTGGGCGGCGGGCGGCGGCCATGGAGCTGGGGTGGCTGGCGGCGGCCTGCGGGCGTCGGATGTGGAGATGGGGCGGCGGGCCTGGAGCTGCGAGACCTAGGAGTGACGGGAGTGCAGGCGTGGTCTCGGGCGGGTGCGGGTGGCGCGTTTGGAATAGGGATGGGCGGCCGCGTCTAGAGATAGGTTTAGAGGATTTTGTGTTTTTTTTCAGTCTTTTCTATTCCACACCGCGCCAATACCGAAAGTCAGACGCTAATGCCAAAAACAGGGCGCCAAAGCGAAATACACACGCGGGACTTATTTTTTCTGTGCGTACATAATTTTAATCTATGTATAATATAAAAATCGATAGAATAATTGTAATTTTTCTGTGCGTGTATATAGTTTTTCTGTGACTTTTGAAAAGACCAACAGAATAATGGCAATTTTTCTGTGTGTATTGACACGCATAGAAAAATCACGTGATATTTCTGTGGGTTTTCGAATATTTCTGTCAGGATTTTTGAAACCCACACCTTAATTACCAAATTTTCTATGTGTATAGAGAAAAATGCACAGAAAAATTCATCACCCACAAGAGTATTCAAGTTTTTAGTAGTGGATGAATGGCAACAAATAGAATGATGCGAAGATTATTACACTCAATCACATCAATTTAATGGCAACAAATAGACTGACGTGAAGATTATTACACTCAAACACATCAATTTTAGGTAATTATGACACGTGTAAACTTAAATTATTATGGTCTAATTTTTTTCCGTAGCAACGCACGGCCACCGTCCTAGTTACATGAATAAAAAATTACCATGCGACACCGCCCCGTCCGTGTGGCAACCTGATCTTGATGTACGGTTTCATCGGCCAAACAACACTAGGCGAGCGTTCGGGCCTGGCTGTATCTGCAATTTGGACGGGAATGCAGGGTGATGTGGCACTGTCGCATAAATTTTTTTCCAGAATTACAGCTAGAACTAGAGGCAACTACATGTTGCTCCAATATTTTCATAGAGAGAGAAAGATAATCGGTCTGATTTTGTTGATGTATTAAAAAGGGGTTTTCATGGTTCCATGCATGCAGATGCCGGTAACCTTGTGGCAGGGACACCGCATTGCATATACATATATCTATCTGTATGCAGCACACCAAACTATATATACATCCTGATCTGACGCAGCAGGATGCTCAAACAGCTAATTACAACTACAATAATGTATAGGGCTATACGGATCGGACGCGCTCCTCCACTACTTATACATTTATTCTCTTATTATTACATTAATTCCATGTGCGTGTAGACGGTGGACGGTTTTGTCACCGATCCCATACCATACATATATATATATATATATATATATATATATATATGCACGGTACATGTGACGTAACGACGACGACCGATCAAAGATCGTCAGCCCGCACGGCGGCGGCTGGTGTAGGGCCCGGTGAACCTGGGGCCACCGGAGCCGGTCTGGCGCTGGCAGTTGAAGTACATGGCGGCGACGGGCGCGCCGAGGTTGTAGCGCCGGGCGAAGCCACGGGTGTTGAAGTTGTGGCGCCTCGACGGCTCCGCGAATACAGTCTCCCGGCCAATCTGCTGGAATAGCACCAGCACCATCCGGTGGATGCCCGTCGAAGGGGCAGGGGGCTCGTAGCACATTATCTCGCGGCCTGCAAATCCAATTATTAACAGTCTCATCAGCGTCGACATGCGGATCGATCTGTCGCAGTAGCTACCTTTTGATTTCCAAATTATAAGACGTTTTAACTTTTCTAGTTACACTATTTTTGCTATATATCTAGATATATTATAGGTTATGTCTGGATACGTAATAAGAGTTGTGCATATAGAAAAGCAAGAAATGACTTATAATTTAGAATAGAGGGGTACTTAATAGTGACGAAGTGCAACAATTAAAACTGGTAACCCCTCGAAGATTGTTTAATTTCTAGAGCATTTTCACCATGTTGGATGGTACGTCAACCAAATTTTCTTAGTAGCCTATCCAATCATCGTTACACTTCTTTTATTTTCTTTTGAAACAATAATAATCATCGTTACACTTTTGAATCAACAGATAGAGTTACGAACAATTATTTTATTTTGGGTCCCAATAGTTAAGCAAGTACAAATAACGTAATCATTCTTCTCCTTCCTTTTCACTCTTAAGTTCCTCCCATTTTCTGAACTACTGCTGCTGATGTGGAAAAAATCACTTTCAAAATAACCATCCTTCAGGATTCAGGATTAGGTTCTTCTGTTTGGAGTAGAAGAGAGATGTAATATATAAATTGGAACCACCATTTTGTGGCTGACTTCAAAAATAAGAACTCACTCCGTCCTTATAAAAACTCTAGAAATTCATTTAATTTGGGACAGAGAGAGTAAGGGACCAGAATTTCTAACACATCAGAGTCCATGCGATTATATTCCTTCATCTGATCAATATAACATGCATCTTCGTGGGAGAAAGACTCTAGAATTAGATTTTGACTTCAAAATTTAATATTAACTGAGACAAATTCAGAATCATCTCAACACAGTACTTTGAAAACAAATCTATTTATCTATTTTTTTTATAAACTACGGATTTACATAATGTGATTGGTTGCTGGTTAAAGCTTGCAAAGTTTTACTTTTAACATCAAACAATTATGATGGCTTAACTTATTAATCCAAGCATGTGCAACATCATATAACGCTACTCCAAATGCAGTTTTCCTTGCTGTGTCATGTACTGCACAATGCTACCATGTCATGTAAAAGAATGATACAATTCTCTCGATACATAATATCATGGTATTTTTTTTTCTTATTATTGTCTCCCAAGAGAATTGATCTAAGACATATGGACCCACAACATGTATTACAACTTCAACCCAATAGAATTTCATACGGTTTCAAGAGTTGGGTTGAGAGACTTCATATATCCTAAAACTTATTAGGGATAGATAGCTTGGGCATATTCATATGCACTAATTACATACAATTTAGGATACAATTTTCTCTATCGGCCACCACCGAAATTACCAAACTTTGTGAATTTCAGCAAAACTTTAAACCTATGTATACTACCTGAATTCCATTGCACGTTATTGCATCTGCACTCATTGATCAATAACACCTTCGATTCATCAGATAAAACTAGAACAAGCATGCAGAAATGAGAAAATATGAACTATCTAATCAAGGACATGCATGATAATCAAGCGGGCAAGTAGATTGCACGGATACGCAACACTAATCGAGATGATCGATCGAGTGGCTATATGATGTTGAGGGTGATTTGGCAAATCAAACTAAAACAATATATGAATAGAGATCGGTTGTGTTTTCGGATATACAAAATCGAGTATTATTTATGCACTCGGAATTTCAAAATAGCCACTTATTCACACACGCACATGCTGAATCATAAAAAAATAGACATGCCATTGTACTTGTTGCACAATGGGAACACTGGTGTACTCACCGTATGTATTGTCAGTTGATGCTGGGATGTCAGTCACCATCCTGCTCGAAACATGAAATGGTTGAAAGTTACTACCATATGATATCCATATTAATGAATTGAGCAATCAGATCCTAAAAAATTACTGGATCAAACAATTTTTAAAGGACTACTTCCTCCATCCCAAAATAAGTATCGCTATGGTATTCGTGCTGGTCAAACTTTCTTAAATTTAACTAGGTTTGTAGAAAATATTAGCAGCATTTGTATCTCTAAATAACTTTATTATCAAAATAGATTCAACGATCTATCTAATGATACTAATTATGTACAATAAATATTAACAATTTCTTATATATATTTGGTCAAAGTTAAAGGTGTTTGACTCCTCGAGAAGCGAGAATGACACTTATTTCGGGACCGAGGGAGTACATAACATATACCTTATCTCTCTTGAGACCTGTATCGAAATTTATGGAGAAGCATAAGTGCATATACAGTATCACAGTATATGTGGTCACAACGTGCCAACAACAGTGTCTATAGGGCTTTCTCTCTTAGGGCTCGTTCGTTTAGGCTAGTTCTGGAAAGGAATAATTTTTGGTTGAGAGTTGTCTATATAAAATAGATAAGTGTCCCGAATAGTTCCAGGCTTCGGAACCCTAGGAACCGTACAGGCCCTTACCAGTGCAAGTACTCCCTCAAGGTTGGGTTGCTTGGGTTAGGAGCATCAGGATCGATCATCACCTATATATTGAAAGAATGTTATTTGAATTTATCGCAAATGGTGTTGCGATGAATTAAACAAATATGTATCCACCATAACATAGTACATGTATCCACGATATCACCAGCATCTAAATTTAACTAGTTAATAGACACGGCATGAGTTTACCAGAGTATATGCAACTCGATAATCATCTCCTCCAATCTCAACCCTTGGCCTATCAGAGACTGCCGGAGCGCGCAACTCCATGCCGCTGATAATAGGAGTACCATCGAATAGGACCATCATATCAACGGTTGTGTAGAAGGGGTCCAAGACATCTCCTACCACATGAGCAGTAACCAAGGAATCGTTAGCCGCCATGTCCAGTATTATTGCTTGAACTATGTGCAGGGTGAACACAGGGTATTGTGTGCCTTATTAGTACAAGCTGCAAGCCTGCATAGGGTGGTGTGATATTTATACAGTGAGTGGCCGACGAGGGTCAAACAGGCCAGGAGAAAACAATCATTATTGGAATATTTTGAAGAAACCTGTACTGCGTGGAGTCTTTGTACTAAAGCCTTGGATATTGCTAGATATTATTCCCTGCTGCTTTGAGGGGCGTTGAAATATTCTCTTGGCAACGGGGATGTCATGGTGAATCACTTCCCTAGATTTGGACATCACCGTCGGCCTCATCACTGCCGGATTTGTGACAACCGGCAGTAATGTACCTTCACTGTCGGTTATAAGCTTGAAAATGAGAAAATGATTGGGGTTGAGCAAAAACCGGCAGTGAAGGACCACATCAGTGCCGGTTTGTGGCTTGAAACGGCAGTGTTTTGGCGGCCACTCATCACTACCGGTTTAAGCCAAGAGCCGACAGTGATTTTGATCTATCTCTGTCGGTTCTAGCTAACAACCGACGGTGATAAGCCTACAACACAAAAGGCTGCATCCGTCCTCTGCTTTCTCCTCTCTTCCATCCCGAGAACAGAGGCGCGCGTTTGGGTCCTTCCCTCCATTGTTGCGTCTACTCTTCACCATGAAGCTAGCGCTTGGATTTTAAAGAATGGTTTGATCTTTTTGTTTTAAAGTTAGTAACAAACATCCACTCCTTTGATTTTGTTGCTTAATTATCTTCGTTTTGTTGGCTACATTGCTTGATTCTCATTCTAGAGAGCACCTTTCCAATTGGACATTTGTGTAAGGCTCAAATTGTGATGAATCTATCATCCAAAAGGTTGGTGTAAATGAACACATTTAAATTCCTAGCTAATTATTCCATGGTGGTCAAGATCATCATTGTTAGTATGTGATGCTATAATTAGTTCTTAGAAGTAGAGTAGAATAGATGTTCCTCATTATTGTGCAATAATTGTTTTTTACTATAATTTTCAATTTACATGGCCGGGGCTACCAATTTCAATTTTTCAATAATTAGTGTACAATAATGTTTTCCAAAAATGGTACTTTCGAGCTACAATTGTTGTTCATGAAGCTTGATTTCTTATTAATTCTTTGTAATTACTGTCTCGGTATTTTTTTGTGTAGAGATGGATCGAGAGTGGATGCATCTGTCCCAAATGGACAAAGCGATACATGCATAGCGTTAGCCAATTTATCACCGATGCCAAAGCCCATGCTGAGAATAGGAACCTAGTCTTCTGCTAATGCAAAGATTGCAAGAATCAAAGGAACTTTCATCAAATTGAGTCTATACGATCGCACTTGATTAATAGGGGGTTCATGCCAAACTATACGATATGGATTATGCATGGTGAGGTTGGTGTGAATGTTCTGTAGGAAAACGATGATGATGTGGACATGCATGACGTAGCCATCCACGATGCTGACGAGGAACCCGGTGTCAACACGGAACCTATGGCCACAGTTAATAATGTGTTTAGGAACACGCTAGCTGACGACACCGAGGATAACGATGGCATTTCTCAGCTGCTACGTAATGTAGAGACCGGATGTCTTAGTGAAAGACAACTGAGAAAGCTAGAGAAAATGAGACAAGATGGCAAAACACCATTGTATAGGAATTATCCAATGAGCAAACTGGTAGCCGACATCATGCTATTAGAGTTCAAATCGACAAACGGATTGAGCGATAAAGGCTTCGATCAATTGTTAGGTATAATAAGGAAAATGCTCCCAGAAAAAAATGAGTTGCCAGAAAAGACATACTTGGCCAAGCAAATGATCTGGCCCCATCAGCCTCGAGGTTGAAAAAATCCACGCGTGTTCCAATGATTGCATATTGTACCATGGAGAAAAATACAAAGACTTGGACAAGTGCCCCAAGTGTGAAGCTCCACGGTATAAGGAAGGGCCATCAGATGAGGGTACCAAGACCAGAGGAGGTCCCGTAAAGGTTGTTTGGTATTTCTCTATAGCTCCCCGGGTGCATAAGCTATTTGCATGTGAAAAGTCAGCCAAGCTGTTGTGCTGGCATGGCGAAGAGCGTAAGAAAGATATAATGATGAGGCACCCCACCGATGGGCATGACTGGAGGATTATCAATACTATGTTCTATAAGGACATCGGTGGAGAGGTAAGGCACCTTTGGTTTGCTTTGAGCATAGATGGGATGAATCCTTTCGACCAGGTTAGAAGCAATCATAGCACCTGGCCAGTGATGCTCTATATATACAACATTCCACCTTGGGTCTGTATGAAGCGGTCGTACATCCAGATGCCACTTCTGATCCAAGGGCCAAGACAACCTGGGAATGACATCGATGTGTTTCTGGAACCAGTGATCGATGAACTAGTGGAGATGTTTGAAAAGGATGTGCCGGATGTTTGGGATGAGTACAAAAAGGAACATGTCACGATCAAGGGAGTACTTATCTCTACAATCACCGACCTACTAGGTCGAGGTTCGTTGTCTGGAGAGAAGACAAAAGGCTATACTGGATGTGTCGAGTGCTTAGACGACATCGATGCGGTAAATCTGCCAAATAACTCAAAGATAGTTTATATGGGACACCGTAGGTTCTTACCTAAGGATCACCCTTACCGTAGGAACAGAAAAGATTTCAAAGGTACTACTGAGAAATGCTTAGCTTCAAAATATCGAGACGGGCCTGCAATACTTCGAGAACTCAACAAACTGGAGGTTGTCCTTGGGAAGGGGGACAATGCAGTAGCAGCGCCTGATAGGAGCGTTTGGAAGAAAAAATTAGTTTTCTGGAAACTACCTTACTGGCCATTTTTGGGTGTACGCCACTGTCTTTATCCCACGCACATCACTAAAAACGTGTGCGCTAACACCCTTAACACCTTGATGGACACCAGGGGGACATCGAAGGATTCACTAGCCACACGCCTGGACATGCAACACTTGGGAATTAGGAAGGAGCTGCATCCTGTGGAGCTAGAGAATGGCCAGTTCAAACTTCCGGTTGCGTCATGGACATTGAAGAAGGAAGAAAAGCGTGCACTTATTTCTTTCTTCAATGAACTCAAAGTCTCGACGGGCTACTGTGTGAACCCGAAGAGGCTAGTGAACATGAGAGAACTCAAGTTCAACTATGGCCCTATGAAGGCCCATGACTGTCATGTCATTATGACTCAGCTGCTCCTTGTTGCCCTGCGTGGTATCCTCCCCCAAAGGTCCATGCCCCAATCATAAAGCTTTGCTCGTTCTTCAACGCGATCTCAAAAATGGTCATTGATGTGTCCACGCTAGAGCAGCTACAGCGGGACATAGCCGAAACTCTCATTAGGCTTGAGATGCATTTCCCACCGACTTACTTTGATATCTCATTACATCTGCTCATTCATCTTATTGACCAAATTAGAGCCCTTGGCCCAATATACCTGCATCAGATGTTCCATTTTGAAAGATTGATGAAAGTTTTCAGGAGGTATGTTAGGAACAGATTTAGGCCAGAAGGGGGCATGGTTGAAGGATGGTCAATGGAGGAGGCCATTGAGTTTTGTACATATTATCTAGACATCAAAAGGGTCGGAGTTCTAGAATCTCGTCACGAGGGAAGACTACGTGGCAAAGAAACGATCGGGGAGAAATCTGTTACAGTAGACGACCCTGTTTCTTTCAGATAGGTACAGTTCGCTGTTCTCCAGCAAACCGAGGGTGTGATGCCATACATTGATGAGCACAAGCAATTGCTACAAACTCTGTATTCGAGTAGGTCACAGGCTTGGCTGGATAAAAAATATGAGGAGAAATTTGTCAACTGGTTGCGACGTCGCTTGCTTGGAATAAAGTTAGGTAATCAACTGGATGCCTTAGCCAAGGGACCTTCGAGTACATATCTTAAGTACCAAGGGTATGACATCAATGGATTCACATTTTACACAAAAAAGTAAGATGGAAAGAGCACATACCAAAATTATGGTGTTCGTTTTCATGCTCACGATGAAAACGACAACGTGCAGGCGACATACTATATTTTCATAGAGGAGATATGGGAGCTAGCCTACGGTCCATTGAAGGCAGCTCTTTTTCACTGCTAGTGGGTCCAGCTCGAGGAAATCAACACTGACAGTGAAGGGTTCACTACCGTTGATCTCACTAAGACCGCATATAGAGACGACCCCTTCGTCCTTGCAAGAGATGTTATGCAAGTCTTCTATGCAAATGACAACAAGACAAAAGGAAGGCTAAAAGTAGTCCTAGAAGGGAAAATGAAGATTGTCAGTGTCGATGGAGTGACGGACGAAGAAGACTACAGGGACTATCAGGAAATGCCTCCATTCGGGGCGAACGTACCCCTACCTATCCTTCAAGAGGGTGACAAACCTGCTTACGTACGGCTTGATCACAATGAGGCCCTCATTGTTGATGCACCTAAAGATAGTTAGATTATTGTTAACTATGTAATCATTATGCAGACGTTGTATTAGTAATTCGCACTGAATATCTAATTTATATTTTGTGCGCATCTCTATAATTTAATTATTGACTTGTAATCAAATATTGAGATGATGTTCACAAATACTATTATTTGATAATTATAGACCATTAATTAATTATCATAGAATTAAGTAATCAAGACACAAATTTTTGTGTGATTTTAGAATATAAACTAACTGCATTATTTCTATTAATAAATAAATAAAGAAAAGCAAACTAATCGAACTCCCTATCCTAGCTCAGTGGTTAAGGCCGCACACTCTGTACTCTGATCTGAGACCCGCGCTCGAATCTCAGATGGGCCAAACTTTTTTGATTTTGTATTTATTATTTAGTAGTGCATTACGATAGGATAAAAGAAAAAAATAAAACCAATCTAACCGAACTTCTTATCCTAGCTCAATGGTTAAGGCCGCGCACTGTCGACCCCGCGACCCGTTCTCGAATCTCAGGCGGGCCAAACTTTTTGATTTTTCATTTATTATGT